AGAGGGATGGTGCAGCCTGGCTTACACCAGCATGGTCTTCCTTACGTCTTGGGAGCTGTGGAAAGTTTGTGGAGCCAGGGGGCAGCCAGGCCCAGCTCCTCTGAGAGCACACAGGGGTCTTTATATCTTGCAAGGCCACTCTAGTGCAAGGCAGCTGTCCCTGGAGGATGGAAAAGCAAGATAAGGCTCTGCACTAAAAGAGGACAGACAAGTAGGAAAGAGAACTCGTGATCTGCATTGCTGTGACTCTGCCACGGTCCATCTGTCCTGGCACCCACTTGCACAGGGTGCTACAGGCTCAGTGCTCAGTTGAGCTGGCACACGGGAAAGGACAGAGTGAGAGGGGAGAGGCACAGGGGATCTGTTGCCTCTGCTAGAGCCTCGTCCCGGGGAGTTGGAAGAGGAGGAGGGAGGAAGGCTAGGAGAAGAGGAGCCAGCTCTGCCTTGCAGAGCACCCCGGCGAGCCGGGCTTAGCAAGCCATGGTGCTGAAGAAGGCATTGGCTTCCAAGAGCAGGCCCTTGGCGTAGACCCGCAGGGTGTAAAAGAGGGTGACAAAGTCCTGAGTGCTGAAGAGGGTGTCAGCCAGGGCGAAGGCGAGCGTGGAGGGGATGAAGCCTCGGCCGTACTCCACCATCCAGGTGCCCGCACTCCACTGCACGGACGTGGCCTCTCCCGCCTGGTGCACGATGGTGTCCCCTGCCAACACACAGGTGCGGTGTTGATCCCAGCGGTGGGTGGTGCTCCCAGATCGTGCCCAAACAGGGGAGGTGAAGAGGAACCCTGAAGCTGTAGTGTAGAGCACCCTGACCTGCGCACCCCATGCCAGGTTTGCCTTCAAACCCTCCCCAGCCTTGCTCACTGGGGCTAACCCAACTGGCACCCACTAAGGTGCTGGGATGGGCTCAGGGGTTATGAAGCCCCCATCCTGAGCTCTGGGCTTTTGCCAGCTGGAAGGAGGAGGCTCATACAGCAGCGGAGGATCAGGCCACAGAGCAGCTGTGCCCCGGCACTGTGGATATAGACAGGCACGTGTGCAGCCCGCAGGGCACTGCAGTTCCTGGGCTTACCTGGATAGTAGATCTCACTTCTGGTGGTTCCCTCTTTCCACTGCCGGAAGGTCCCCGAGATGACGGTGTCAGAGATATCCGCCCAGTACCGACCTGAGAGAGGACGGACAGCATCGACTCAGTGCGTGCCTGGCCAGGGCCCCCGAGGGCATGGGGACAGCTCGGTGACTGAGATCAGAGCCAAGAAGAAGCCCTCCAGTGGGGAAGGACACCAGCTCTATGGCCTCAGTGCAGCCTGGGCAAGCACCGAAGCGCGTGGACCAGGACTGGTACCTGGCTCCCTGTGTAACCGGTCACATCCCAACAGCCTGAGCTGCTCAGTATCTTTAGGCGCCCTTTGTTCCCAGAGCATTTTGGCATCGGCTCCCTCAGGAAGCGGTGGGGAGACGAGATGCCTGCCTCTGCCTGTCAGTTGGACACGGAGAGTCCTGGCTGCCCCAAACACCATGAACTGGGACCTGGCTCGGCTGCTGTGGAGGCAGCAGCTGCAGGACAGCATCGCGCGGTGTGAGCGAGGCTGCTGCAGGGGCTGCTCCCTCGCAGCCGTCCACGGCGGAGGGGTGGCAGAGTCACCCCGAGCCTCAGCCTGCTGGAGCCTGGGAAAGGCTCCACTGGAGCCAGGGCTTATTTAGAAACACTCTTGTCAAGGCTCTGCCCAGCGAGGGTTGGCTGTGAGCAGAACCTGCCAGGACATCTGGGACAAAGGATGCCCACGTGCCACTACTGAATCGCCGGCTACTGTGCAATTGCCCTACTGACCTCTTCCCACGAACTGGGCTGAAGCGCCAGCAGTTGCCAAGGCTGCGTGAAGGCGCAGAGTCTCAGCAAACACGGACTCTGTCCTGGCGGCCAACCTCCCGTCCCT